GTGTCTGAACTCTGGAGGCGGAAGCCAGGAAGAGGTCGCGGGAGGGACGGGCCAGCCTTGCGCATGCGCGATCGGCGCACTAATAGGCCCAGAATGTGTCCGGAAACCGTGTCTGTTTAGGAAGACTCCACTTCTCCGGGTTTTTGCTAATGCTGAGCTCGGAAGATTGAGGCGGCGGTGGGGTTTGGAGGGAAGGAGGTTTGAGGACCCCTTTGGACTCCCAGGCCGCTGGGGGCTGGGCCTCCATGAACAGCCGAGGGGCTGCGAACCGTCACTTGCCTCTCCTCTGTAAAAGGAGGAGAGATTAACCTTGTCTGGAGAGCCTGTGGTTCTAAATTCTGACCTGGAATGTCTGTGGTCTGGCCAGTCCCAGTCCTGTAGTGCTGTCCCGTTACTCGCTCCAGGTTCTGGGGATGCAGCGGTACAGGATGGAGAGATGAGGTCCTCACTTCATGGAGCTTACATACATCTGGGGCAGTGAGACAATAAACAAATAACCACACTAATTCCAAGCAGGGGTACGGGGTGTGGGGGTGCCAGGGATCAAGCAGAAGAGTGGAACTGAGGGTATTAAAAACTTTTGCCACGGAAAGCTTTTCTGGAAGAAAGAGCGCATTGAGCAATATGCTAGCCCAGTGGTCCGCAAACTCATTAGTCAACAGAGCCAAATATCAACAGTACGATTGAAATTTCTTTTGAGAGCCAAATTTTTTAAACTTAAACTATATAGGTAGGTACATTGTTATTAACTTAATTAGGGTACTCCTAAGCTGGCCTTTGCTAAAAACGTCCTCAATCTGATTGAGGTACGTTCGCTGAGGTCGACCCCTTCCAACTCTGCCATCCACACTCGTCTTGTATACTTGTTTCCTCTATCTCCTTTCCGAAAACTGACTTCTGCGCATGGGCCACGAAGTTTCAATCGCACTGTACGTGCGCGCCCGCACGTGGTATTTTGTGGAAGAGCCACACTCAAGGGGCCAAAGAGCCGCATGTGGCTTGCTCGCTGCAGTTTGCCGACCACTGTGCTAGCCAGATAAAGGACCAGGGCCTGGGGCATGCAGACTAGACCCCCCAGGGCCTAGGGCATGCAGACTAGACCCCCAGCAGCCATGCTAGATGGAGAAAACAAATACATCTGCTGTTCTGGGGCTGGGAAAGAAAGATGTAAGTTGTTGTGAAGGGATTCGCATCGGTTATGGATGAAGGGTGTGGGAGGAGGAAGGGTGTGGGAGGAGGAAGGGAGTGGGAGGATGTGAAGTGGGGCTGGTTCTGGGACAGGTCATAAGCAGTGTTTGCTCTTTGGGGTTGGTTGTGGGCAACAGTCTGCAAGATGCCGTGGCACCTGGCTGTAGGCTATTTCTGTTAATTGTGGAAATAGCCACCTGGAAGTTCATTCAACGTTTCAACATACATTCAGGAATGTTATCCGTCCTTTGTTGGGTTCTGCCTGTAGTTTTTAACTGATTAACCTCTCTGGTCTCTTCCAACCCTGCAGACACCTGTAATTTAATTTTGGACATCTAGGAATTTTCCCTTTGCCGAGGGATTTAAAGATTGTTTTTTAAGGTCGCTCTTGGTAAAGAGTGGAAGCCGAGGAGCTATTGCAGTAAGTAGTCCAGGTCAACTAAGATTTGGACTTGGACTGGGGTGTAGCTGGAAAGTATTTAGTTTAGTTTAGCGATTCAAGGAATATAACTCACTCACTGAAGGGCTGTATGTAGAGAGTGAGAGAACCAGAAATTTAGGTTATCTTCCAGGTTGGGGGCCTGAGAAGTAGGGAGGCAGCGGGGCCATTTTCTGAGATGGGAGAAATGGGGAGGAGCAGGTTGGGGTGAGTGAGGGCAGTGAGATAGTGAACTAATGGTACTGAATAAATCGATGATAGTGAACAAAAATGTTGGTTTTCTTCCCTTCTAAATGAAGAGAACACCCTCTTTCTCTTATTCAGAAAATCTTCATGGCATCAAATACAGAATATTATAAATTCTTTCCCTTAGCCCAAGTAGATATTCAACCAATATGTTAATTTATTTGCTCAAGTGAGAGAGATGGGGAAGTGACAATCCCATTGCTATATTGGCTTTTTTAACAATGTTTGCTATTGCCCTAACCGGTGTGCTCAGTGGATAGAGCGTTGGCCTGCGGACTGAGGGTCCCAGGTTCGATTCCGGTCAAGGGCATGTACCTTGGTTGCGGGCACATCCCCAGTAGGGGGTGTGCAGGAGGCAGCTGATCAGTGTTTCTCTCTCATCGATGTTTCTAACTATCCCTCTCCCTTCCTCTCTGTAAAAAATCAATAAAATATATTAAAAAAATGTTTGCTATTCCTTTGTGCCTAGCAATGTGTTCAGTAATTAACCCACATTTTTTTCCCCATTTAATTTTCACAAGGACTTAAGAAGATGGACATTTTTTCTCTCTCTTTGCTTCTTAGTTCTACTACTTGGGACTTGATCAATTAACTTGCTCAAGGTCATATGACTAGATACTAACGTTCCAAAGCCGGAGCTCTCAGCGCACAAACTACCTTTACAAGCAAGAATTTTATCTTTGTTCTGGTTCTTAACCTCTTTTGCAGGGTCATAAATCCCTTTGAACATTTAATGAACGTTAGCAACTCTCCAGGGGGGAGGGGATGCGCCAACACCCATCACAATTGAGAGAGAACTGCACGGGGCTCCCCACTTTTCAGATTGTGCATTTGGCAGGTTATCCCATCCGTGAATTCCGAGCTGGAGGCAGTCGGGCTGACTCCTTACTTTGCAGTGGTTAAGTCGACGCGCTCTTCCGACATCCGATTGAACTCTGAGGCTTAACTGAATTGGCTTCATGTCACCAAAAGCACTATTATCCTTGAAAAATACTCAGAAAATGCACCACACACACACACACATATACACACACAGAAACCCGGACATCACGTCATTTTAATAGGAAGAGAGGCAGAAACTTCCTCAGGGATCATCAGAGCGCATTTCCATTTCGCGGGGACTACTTTCTACACTGAGCTCTGCCATGCCTTCCTTTGCAGTGTCCGCACCAGCTGCTTCTGTTCCCGGCGCCCGGCTTTCTCCCCACTCTCAGCACTCCCTCCAAAGACAACGGGGTCTTGTCTGTTCCGCGCAGCCGCTGTCCCACACGGGAATGCACTGACACCTGAGCCGCTAGCCACGGGAGTGAGGGACTATGGCTACTTCTTCCTTATTTGTTTCCTGCTCCTGCTCCTAACCAGGTGTTCCCCGACCTTCTCCCCGCCTCCGTGAGCAAGGGCTCTCATTAGCACCGACTCTGTGCTGCGGGCAGCGCGGTGAGAACATCTCAAGATGTTCAAAGGAGGCAAAGCAACAAGCCCGGGGCGCCCTGCAAGCCCGGCAGCTCCACGGGGGCCCGGGGAGCTCCAGATCGGAATGTGGAACGGGACCGTGAGCGCCGGAACTTCTCGCCCGGCAACGACCCAGCGGGCCCCGCTGAAAACCCGGAAAGTGGATTTCGTCCCGGAAACCCTCCCGCGGGCTGGCGGCGGCACTCACTGAGCATGTGCGGGCGGCGCTGCGCATGCTCCGTCGAGGTCCGGTTGGGTTTCTGTTGCGGGATCCGCGGTGTCTCCTAGCGTAACCGGAACTGTCCGTCGCGGGGCCGGCCTCCCTCTGCTCGGGCGGCTTTGGCACAGTCTCCGAGCCTCCCCGTCCCTCATTCCCTCTTCACCCCTTCGGCGCGTCTGCCCTTTTCCCGAAACAGCCGTCATGAGCGCGAGGCGGTCGGCGGCGTCGCCACCGCGGCTGTGGCTGGGGCCTGGCGCCGGTCAACTTCTGCGAAGAAGATAAAAAGAGCGACGAGTGCAAGGTGGGTGAGGCCCGGTGGACCTCGGGGTGCCGTGTCGGCCGGGGAAGCCGCCCTCCGCCTGGGAGGCTGGGGTCCGAGGGAAAGGGGGCGTGGCTGTGGGTGGGGTCGGAAAGCCCCTGCACGGGTGAGAGGCTGGAGGACTCGGCCTCAGGCTGCCCTCCCGTCCGGCGGGCCAGGTCGCACCGGCCGCTGGCTTCCGTTTTCCTGGAATCGGACGCGTGCAGGTCAGCAGTGAGCGTCCCCGAGTGAAGGTGGCCGCTCACCGCACGGTGCCACGCACTCCGAGCGAGTGCTTCATCCCATCAGGGCTTCCCGTCACTTTTTATTTCGTTGCTTCCTGTTTCCTTCTCCTTCACTGGAACTCTTGGTTGGTCATGAGAGCTTGGTCTTCCTAGGACTTGGATAATTTAACTTCCCGATGAACAGTTGGTTCCTTAGTTATGGAATCTAATACCTTGAACCGCGTAAACTGCATGCAAGAAAGAGTTGCTTGTAATGGTTGGAACAGTTCATTTCTACCTTTTCAGTGTAAAAAAAGATTAATATACATAATTCCACTATTTAGTTTCGCTGAGATTGTTTTAAACACTTAAAAAGAGCAGACGGCAGGAGGAACTGGTGTTTCTTCCTAGAGCAAGTCTTGAAAACGTTGATCTTACAGCGGTTCTCAACCTGTGGGTCGCGACCCCTTTGGGGGTCGAACGACCCTTTCACAGGGGTCACCTAAGACCATCGGAAAACACATATATAATTACATATTGTTTTTGTGATTAATCACTATGCTTTAATTATATTCCATTTGTAACAATGAAATTGGGGGTCACCACAACATGAGGAACTGTATTAAAGGGTCGCGGCATTAGGAAGGTTGAGAACCACTGTAAGACCTTCACACTCAAGGTTTTCAGTCTAACTGCTAGCAAAAGAGACATAGAAAAAGTAAACTTTTAGATTATTTGGCATAGGGCATAATGATATACATACACATTTATTTTAGGTTGGTAAAACAACGTTTTGGGTTTCAGGATCTCTTTGAAACCATTAATTTTAACAATTCAAATAATCGTTTGGCAAACTTTTACAATCAATAAATAGGTTTATTTACTACGTTTGATTTTTTTAATCTGGTGTTTATTTTATTACTGCAGGCTTTACAGTAGCTGTTAATATTGAGCTTATTGTAGGGCATTAAAGAAGCTGTTAAATTTTTCATAGCATTTTACAGTTTCTGTTTAAAAATTTGGATCTCTGAAAATGTCTAAGGATCTTTAAGGTTTACTCAAGTCAATATTAGCACTTGAAACTAACTCTCATACTTTGTAATGCAAGAAGCTTTCACTCTGAGTGTCTGACTGAAAGAATATAGTGCTTCCAAGTGGAAGGAAAAGCTAGTCTCACAAGCACACTGTTTTTTTTCCACTAAATATTTTAGTAACCAGCCTTTAAAAGTTAGTATGTGGTATTTAAATTTAACAGCAATTGTGTACTGTATTCCTAGTGCCTCAGAGACAAAAAGTATCTCTCTGTCTTCTAGGAACCTCAAAGTAAAGGGCATAAGTTTATGAACAGATTATCGAAATCTGATGTTATTGAAGATGTATGTCCAAAGTGCCTTAAACAGAAAGGAGGACACATCTGTGGATTGGAGTCTTCAGGGAAAGCCACAGAGAGGAAGTGACATTTGAAATGGACTTCAGAAAGTGATTATGAGTGAAATTTACAGGTGGTCTGCCAGTTAGATGATTTTTGTTTTTTCAACAGGTCCTACTTTAGCTACTTTTTAGTTGACTTTTGGCTAATTTCAGAGACCTTTGGGATTTTTAATTTTCAAAAGTATAGGAATAAAACAGGCAAGGCATATTTTTCTGAAATGTTTGGATTTCATCTTTGTTGCCAGCTGCTTTCACATATTGGTCAATGGAAACAACTCTGACAAAAAGAAAGATGTACTTTTAGCAGTTTTTGTTTTTTCCTACAAATTGACTAACTGGTATAGGGAGTTTGAAGTAAACTTTAATATTTCTTCTCTGCCACTCAAAGAAGAAAAGCAGTAAACAGTTTAACATTTCATTGCTTCATTAAGGGTATTAATTTTTTTTTCTCATCTATTCCATATTTGTTAAGGACAGTCTTGTGTATACTATTCAAAAAAGCTGAGGGGACTTATTTTAAATAGTAGAAATGGGAGTTGTGAAATGAGAATAATTATTTCCAGAAGATGCTATTAGAGTAGAGAATCAAGAGTTGGATAAATAGGGCAGATCATTGATAGTTTCCATCAGTTTTTCCATATGTAACAGGGGATAATCATATTTGCTTAATATATACTTCCCTTGAAAGATGTGCATTTCTTAGAGGCCAAGTATGATATTTGTCATCATTGTGATGTTATAAAATATTCATAAGTGTAGAGATGGAACAAGTATTGATATCTTCAGCATAAATATAACTTATGTAGTATAGTCTTTTTTAAAATTAAATTTAGAGAGAGAGAAATATCGATTTGTTGTTCCACTTACTCATGTATTCATTGGTTGATTTTTGTATGTGCCCTGACTGGGGAGCAAACCACCGACCTTGGCCTATCGGGATGAAAATCTAACTAACTCAGTTTCTGGGCCAGGGCCTATGTAACATCCTCCTAGTATATAAAAAGCCAGGGACCGTCATGACTGAAACAACTGGATGGACAACCGAACAGCAGGCTGTGTGGGGCAACCAGGCCAGCAGGGGGGTTAGTGAGGGACGACCAAACCACTGAACAGCAGGCTGCGTGGGGCGACCAGGCCAGCTGGGGGGCAGTTGGGAGCGAGGAGGCAGGCAAGCAGGCGAGCTATTAGGAGCCAGTGGTCCAGGATTGTGAGAGGGATGTTCAACTGCCAGTTTAGACTGGCAGTCGGACATCCCCCAAGGGGTTCTGGAGTGGAGAGGGTGCAGGCTGGGCTGAGGAGACCCCCTCTCCCCCCGTGCATGAATTTCATGCACCGGGCCTCTCATAGCACTATAAAATGGCATGAAAACTGTCAACTCAATGCTGGAGAACACAGAGCGCATCCTTTCAGAATAAAGAACTTGTAAAATGAAATAGCAGAATGTCTGCAAACAGCTCCTGGCACAGTGAGCGCATATTCTGAAATAAGTGCAATTGTCCAAACAGCAATCATGAGATTCTGTGGATGTTAAAAAGACTTCAAGCCTGTTTTGCTTTCAGTGATCGTCCACCCCCCTCCCTGTATTAATTTTAATGAGTTAATCACATCACAGGTTTGTGTCAGAGTTGTACTTTTTGTGTCCAGCATGTGTCAGTTCACAGCTGGGACTTTTAAAGACATTTGTTGGCAGAATTATGCAACTTCCGCACGAATTTCGTGCACCGGGCCTCTAGTAGTCTTTATATGTACTGTAAAGTTCATACCCTGAATTTAGCTCACTGTATATAGAGAGACAGTCAAAAGAACCCTGAGGATTTGGTCATTTCTCCTTGCAAAATATTTTATGTTCAGTGTAGTGGCAGAGGGAAAAAAGTTCAATGAACATGAAATTCTACTTATATTGCTCTGACTTTTGATTTATAATCTTTATTAGCATTCATAAATGCTGTGACTATTCTGTGGCTTACTTTGTTGAGCTTACTGTTGTTACATGTACATATATTTGAATAGTGCACATTCTTATTGGTTTTTATTAACTACTAGAGGCCTGGTGCACAAAAATTTGTGCACTGGGGGGGTGATCCATCAGCCCGGCCTGCGCCCATTCACAGTCCAGGACCCCTTGGGGGATGTCCACTTGTCGACTTAGGCCCTGCATTGAGCTGCCCCCTGGTGGCCAGTGCGCATCATAGCAACCGGTCATTCTGCCATTCAGTCAATGTGCATATTAGCCTTTTATTATTATTATATAGGATGTCCCTATTTCCCCCCTTTTGCCCCCTCTACCCAGCTCTTGCCCCCCACTTCTCTCTGGCCATCACCATACTGTTGTCTGTGTCCATGGGTTGTGCATATATTTTCTTTGGCTAATCCCTTCTTTAAATTCACTTCTTTAAATTTTTATTTTCAGATAAGTGCTTATAACTGCACTATTATATATTTTCTATTATATCATTTAGAATTAAGATATTTTTTAATTGAACCCTTGTAAATTTTAGCACAATTTAATAAATTATGCTAGAAGCAATTAGGAGATTTTTCATGTAATGCAGATACATTTCAATTAATATTTTATTAATTTTTAATTTTTTAATATTTT